CTCAGGACATGCCCCCGGGGCGCGGCGCCGGGGACCCTGGGGCTCGCCTCCGCGCAGGGCCCCCCGCCCCGCCCCCGGGCGTCCCGGGCCCCCGCTGAGCGCGCGTCGCGCACGCCCGGGTCCCTCCCGCCGGCGCGCAGCCGGGCCCCTGCGCTGTGGGTCCCCGCGGGGCGATGGGTTGATGGGCGCCTGGGGACGCAGGATGCGGGGGGCGCCGGCGCGCCTGCTGCTGCTGCTGCCGTGGCTGCTGCTCCTGGCGCCCGCGACTCGGGGCGCGCCGGGCTGCCCGGTCCCCATCCGCAGCTGCAAGTGCTCGGGGGAGCGGCCCAAAGGACTGAGCAGCGGCGCCCCCAACCCGGCGCGCAGGAGGGTGGTGTGCGGCGGCGGGGATCTCCCGGAGCCGCCGGAGCCCGGCCTGCTGCCTAACGGCACCGTGACCCTGTAAGTACTTCATCCGCACCGGTGGGCGAGCGGAGGGCCGGGGACGGACGACCCCACCTCCCGGGTCTGACTCCGAGCGCCAAGCAGGGAGACTTGGGTTGGGGGGAGACGGGGACTCCAGGAGGGTGGAGGGAGGCAGGCGCCGGCTCACCTGCACAGGTGAAGCGGCACGTGCGCTCACGGGACGCCCACGCTCCCCAAGTGTCCAGCTTGGGCTAAGGTTTCACCCTTCCGGGACCTGAGAGACAGGGAGCTGGCAAGGTCGACGCCCGCGGCCCAGGAGGCGACCGCGTCCCGGACCCGACAGGGGGACTCCACCCGGCTTTACCGGGCGGGTCCGGCTCCTCCGATCCGGAACAGCCCGTACGGCTTTGGGCGCACCAGCGCGCTCCCGGCCGGGTCTCCGCGGGGCGGGCGGAGGGTGGGCTCGGAGAAGCCGGTCCCTGGAATGAGGGCGCTCAGCCCTGCGGGAGGCCTGCGTCCCTCTGCCCCTTCTCGCCCTCGCCTGGAAATGTCTCCGCGCTGGCTCTGTCTGGATTGACTCCGCGCAAACCCTACGAAGAGGGAAACCCGGCTGAGGGGAGGCGGGCGCCTGCCAGTCTCCTTCCGCAGTTCGCATCGCGGCCCGGGCCTCCTTCAGCCCTGGCCTCGCCGGCGGCGAGGGAGCGTGGCCCCGCGCGCGGGCCGACCCCTCGCCTCCCCCGCAGCGCGACCGCCCGCGCCGCCCACGTGCTGGGAGCTCCGCGCTCGCCGAGTAGGGACGGCCGGGGGGCCCAGGCGACCCCTTCCTTTCCCGTCCCCGGTCTAGCCGCACAGCCGTTTCCCCTGCCCCGTCCCCCTGACCCCGGTGGCCCCGGTGTCTCCACCGCCCCGTGCCCGCAGTCGGGGCTGGCTCGGTGCGCTCGATTGTGTCCAGAACAATACGGGAACGCCTCTAGTTGGGGGCGCTGAGAGGCTGCGCGCTTCCTGACAGGACGCAACTGGTCAGCCTCTGACGTGGGCCGCTGGCCTGCGTTTTCCGCGGCTGGGCTGTCCGTGTGCGTGTGCGCCTCGGGGGGTGGAGGCCGCCCGTCCGCTCGCTCCAGCAGCGCAGGGCTCTGGCGATCGCCCACAGGAGCTGCCACCTGTGGCTGCCCAGGCCGGGTGCCTGTGATCGCCCACTTGGTGTTGAAGGGGCCAGGCAAGCCTGGGCATTCCTCAGCCCACTCAGTTCTGCGGGAGAAAAATGCTGGCTGCGGTGGAATGGCCGGGCTGGTTCCGTACGTCCCGGCTGCGCCAGAGTCAGTCAGCCTTGAGTGGGTGTGTGTGTGTGCATGTGCACATGTGTGTGTGCGTGCGCTCTGTGGCTGTCCTCACACACATGTGTGGGGTGCTGTCTCTGTTTGCTGGAATCCTGACATAGCAGAGGCAGATGGAGGGGGGGGAGCGAAAGGTGGTTTTTGCAGTACATCTTAGAATCATTTGGCCCCTAATGCTTTCCAGCTACAGCTAATTCCCCTTGCCGCTGCTCCGAGGAGAGTCTGGGGCCAACTCTCGGTGACACAGTGGCAGCGAACTGGACTCCTCCCTTGCCTTCCTGTCCCTCGCTCTTCCCAGGCCGGGGACCCAGCTGCTCCAGGACCTTCCAAAGCAACAGCTCCCCTGAGCCTGGGCAGACAGTCCCACAGGGACAGTGTTCGGGGCTGGCCGGGAAAGCCCTGGGAGCCCGCTGGCCCATGGGCCCGGAGTGTGACGAAGGCCCCAGCTGTGGACATGCCTCTTAGCTGCCAGGATACCCAGGGCACCACTAGCTGGGAAGAGACCCCCAGGGTACTCAGTTGAGAAGCCCCTTCTCACCCCCCTCCATGCATCCTGCCCGCCCTGCAGTCTGAGGGCCAAGCAGGAGGCAGCGTGGGTTTTGCCTGGCAGATCTTTCGTCCCCTGTGCTCCACTGAGGACCCCTTCTCGCCCTGCTCCCCACCCCCAGACCCATGAATCCTTGGGGTTCCACCTTGGGCAGCCCGGCAGACACGGAGTGGGAGTGTCGGAGCCTGGGGACTGTGCCCGCGTAGAAGCTGCTGCCCAGGGAAGGCCCTCAGGAGGTCAGAGGTGATGTGGTGGACAGTCTTGCTTTCCTCTCCCAAAAACCCTTCCTCCACCTCCAGCCTGGTCTCTCCACCTCTGCCTCCGTGCCCTCTCCCCCACCCTTGGCTTTTTTCCCCTCTGGTGGACATTCATTCGCGGTTTTCCAGGAAAGCAGAGCATTGGCTTCCTTGCTGGCTCATCTGTCCCACCTCGTCCCCCCCACCCCGTCTCAGGCCCAGTGTGCGGAGCAGCTGCGGGCACCAGCACCCCTGTTCCGACCCTTGCCTCTGAGGGGAGGGGTCCCATAGCGGGTGGCGAATTGGAGTGAGACCCTGGGTGTAGGACAAGGAACCAGAGAGGCGGCTGGGAGCCGCCACCCACATCCCAGACAGCCACCCGGGGGCTGCCCTCTCTGGAGCTCTGGGAGTTAGAGTTAAGAGAAGGGGCCCGCAGAATAAGGCGCTCCAGGGAGGCCCCGGAAAACAGAAAATTCCAGAAGGATAAGCCAGGAGGACCTCCCAGGACGTGTGAGCAGCCCCTCGGAGGACCCCAGGCGTGTCATAAATTCTTGCTAGAGGGGTCTTAGAGATAAGGCAGCCCAGCCCCACACCCAGCAGCTGAGCCAGCTGGGGCCGTGGTGTGAAGATTAGCGCACTGGGTTCCCGTGGCCGCTCCTGGCAGGTGAGGGCTCCCCGGTTCACCTGGCTGGACCCCTTAGGCACACAAAGGCTGCTTTAAAAAACCCCGGTTCCTTCCCAGCAGGACACAAGCCCTTTTGACCTGAGAACATTCCAGACTGGGTGAGGAGGGGGCAGGCCCAGGCCAGGCCACTCCCCTTCCCCCCCCCAGCAGGCACACCCTCGCCATTGGGGGATGCCCACCCTGCAGGCTGCCCCTAAGAGGGGAGAAGGGGCCTGGTGTTGGCTGGGTGCTGTGGCTGGCAGCGGTGCATGTGTGTGTGTGTTGGGGGGGGGCAGGGAAATGGTTAGGGAGCAGGGCCGCCTTTGGACCTAGGGCTCTGGCTTCAGCGCCGCCCCCCAGGACCCAGCTAGGGGAGTTGGGGCACAGTGTGCCCGCTGCCATGCCGGAGGACAGCGGAGCGATGCCGGCTGGAGGGGCGGGCCCCGCTGGCTTCCCCCACCCCCTTCCCTTCCACCCTCTTTCCCCCATATGGTTCTCATAAGATCTGGGCTCAGAGACAGCAGCCAGAGGAAGTGGCTGTGTACAGAGAGCTTTTGTGAGAGAGGAGGGGGAGGGGGCGGAGAGAAGGAAGAGAAAGGAGGAAAGAACCGAGGGAGGAGGCCCCAGACAGACAGACGGAGGAGGTGAAGGGAAGCCAGGAGGCTCCAGCTGGCTCCCTTGCCCTCCTGGAAGGCCAGGGCCTCAGTGGCAATACCCTCAAGTGGGCTCCCGGTCCCCCAGTCTGGAGTGAGGGGCCCAGGAGTAATCTAAACCCCCCCTACTTTTCCCCAACTTACTTGAGGAGCTGGAGGCCTAGGGGTCCCAGGACCTTGGGACCCCCTGTTCTTGGGGCTTGCTCTCGGGCTCAGGCCTAAGTCCCCTCGGGGAGAGCACTGGGCAGAGGGCAGGGCCCTCTGGGGTTCCCTGGTCCGTCCTCCGTGCCACAGAGAGCTTGGCATGGCCCTGGTGCAGAGTTGCAAAGCAAGGGCTTCCTGGGCCTGAATTCTGCAGCCGTGAGCTGGCTCCTGGCCACTCCTGAGCCCCCAAGGATGGCCCTTCCTGCAGCCTGCTGTGGATCATCCTCGGGATGGGCAGGGGGAGTGGCAACCCCTGCTCCTGGGTTGGGGGGGTTTGGAAATTTCCCCCCCAAAGCCCCGGGCCCACCGGTTTATTTTGACCCTACCCTTAATTGGCCCTTAAAATTTGGGGTCATGTTTTTAAAGGGAGAGAGTGTTTCTAAGTTTATCCCACATGGGAGTCATTGGGATAAGAACCCTCTCCTGCTGCGGGGGGGGGGGGGGGGGGGGCAGTGGCAGGAGGGGGGGAATGTTCCAGCCGCCTCGGAGATGGCGCCACCCTTGCCCACCTTGGAGCCTGGCTTCGTCCCCACCAAACCCCAGAGAAGGGACACAAGCTGCTGAGTGCCACACAGCCTGGACCAGGCCAGCTCGGGCAGAGGCCGCCTAGGCCTCCCGGGGAGCAGCCAGAGAGCCAGGGAGGGCAGGCGAGGGAGGGCATCAGCCCTGGGCTAAGGGACCAGAAAGAAAATCCGGTGGTGACCGCTAGGAAGGGCTGCCGAGGGGCTGTTTATTTTCATTCCCCCAGCCCAGCCGCTCTGTTCTATTTAGAGCTCAGACATTGACGGGATGGAGCTGCCTCCTCCCCTTCCTCCCTCCTAGGGGGGCCCCCATCTCCTTCCCAAACTCCAGAACATTCCTGGGCCATGGGGGAGGGGACGGGGACGGGCGCAGAGGCACTGGGAAGCCGAGCTAAGTTGGGCAGTCTCCCAGGACCTGGCTCTCCCAGCCCCTGCCTCGATGTTCCCCCTGGGAGATGGGGGGGAGGCGGGGGGTGTGCAAGATGGATGGGGCCAGGTGAGGGCAGGAACCAATCTGTCAGAGAGGAGCAAGGGAGGCGGGGCTGGCTCCAGAGCGAGGCCTGAGGAGGGAGCACCGGGGCCTGACATCTCCCAGCTGGAAAGGCTGGGCTCCCTCTGGGAGCCCCTCTCCCGCCTCCCCTCCCTGCCAGGGCCCCTAGCCTTGCTGGGGGAAAAGGCCACCAAAGATGAGGAGGGGCAGGAAACCCCCAGAGAAGGGCCACACAGCTCCGGTGGGACAGCGCGGGGCTCCGGGTGAGCTCAGGCCTTGCGCGTGGGAGCAGGGGGCAGGAGAGCACCGGAGGAGACAGGAGCTGCAGAGAGCTGGGGGCTCTGCAGCATCTCGGGTCTCCTGGGGGTCCTCGCCCTGCGTGGCAAA